CATACATACATACATACATATAAGCATACATACATACTCGTTTGAAGTTTGAACATGGCTGTTTAGGTGTTTTATAAAGGTTTCTAGAGCTGCAAAATGCTCTTCTAGGGTTGAACATGGCTTTATAGGGCCGTCAGAATCAGTTCTGGAGTATGGTGTAGTTATAGTGTAGCTTAGTAACTGCGGAGGGGCCATCTTCCTAACAAAATTACAGCCTTCCGACAGTTTATAGTATACGGATATTGGGACTACCACGCAACACAGGAATGATCCAGACTCCTGTAGAAGCAGGAAGCACGGTCCTGCTTTAGGGTTTCAGGCTTTAGGGTTTAGGGGTTTGAGGTGTAGGTTGGACCCGAAGCCAAAATCCAAAACCCTACAACCAACACCCCCAAAAGGATCCTATAACCTCAAGACCCCAAAGTATAAATCCTAATCACACCCTAAGCTTCAAACGACTACTGTAGGGTCTGGGTTTGAAGGACATCTCCGTCCCTCCCCTCCCTTGGCATGCCACCTGCAAAGCCTCGGTCCCGTCCGCAATCACCTGGCCATTCATGGCCTGGAGCAGGGACAACAGGGTAGGGTTTGAGGTCTAGGGACCTAAACCCTAAACCCTAAACCGTGGTCTAGGTAGGGTCTAAAGCTTAGGGTCGAGGGCTGAGGAGCAGATTAAGCAAGTTGGGCTGAGGGTCTGTGGTAGAGGGTGACCGAGTTTAGGTCATTAGAACTTAGGGTCTCTAGGATGTAATATAGGGGGCTCAATAACTGGAATAGGGTTTTGGGGCCCATTCTACTAGATTTATAATAAGGAACCCCCTAGAATAGTATAGGCAATTATTAACACCCCCACATTAGGGTTTTTAGGATGTAGTTTTCAGGGCAGCTTCATGCTGTACAACTTGAACTGTAGTCACTAGGCTTGGCAAGGTGCATGTAGAGAAGAGAGCTACGGCTTAGGGTTTAGAGTTTAGGCTGGGGCGGCAGCCTAAACAGACCAGAGCTTTCCGAGTAATTATGCTAAACTCCAAACCCCTAAAACATACCTTAGCCCCAGATAACCTACCTTCTTCAGGACTGATGAAAAGAATTTATAAAAAGGAACCCTTAGAAAGGGTCCAGGTACCTTTTCAGGGGCCTGAACTGTCAAAGTCGGGTTTTGGTGTAGCATGCTGTACTATAGCGGTAATAGAGAACCCCCAGCAAGGAATAACATCTTCTAGTCAATAAGGTCCCTATCATCGGGAACCCCAAGGAATAGGATCGTCTAATCCAATAAAGTCCCTATATATCTATAATAGGGAACTGTAAGGAATACTATCTTCTGATCAATCAGGTCCCTATAACTGACATTCTATTATATCTAAAATAGGGAACCCTACGGCCCTAAGGAATATAATACTATCTTCTAGTCAAGTAAGGGCCCTAAATCTGACCTAAAGGCTAAGGACCCTTGGGTCAGATCACACACGGGATAAACGTTGGTCACCCCTAAACCCTAAACCCTAAACCCACAGGCGGGAACAACGTTGCTCGGACCTCGTCACCTCTATCCTGATGCAGGATAGACCGTGCACTCTCACAGGTGGCGAACTACACGAACCTGTATAGAAGAGTTGTAGCAGAACACATGACATGAACTCAAAGACATAAGCCCGGGACAGTTATGACGTGAACTTAGCCTGTACTCCAGACCCAGAAGGAAACGCAGGCAGAGCAGTGCGAACTCAGGAGAACACATCGACAGCTGCTTTTGCCTGCCAAGGACTTTTGCTTGGATGGTCGAAAAGTTTGAAGAGGTTCAAGTCTTGAGTGCCGGCTTAGAGTGCGATGGTCTCGGGATAGGGTCTGATCGCGCAGTTTAGGCTTGTTCAGAGGAGTGAAGCATGGGTTTAGGGATCAGGGGTGCAGCGCCAAAGGATGCAAAAGGTTAGGACGCTTACGGCATCATGGGTAGAGGAGCACGGTGGGGTTTGTGCAAGGGCTTGGTTGAGGGTATACAGGGTTGCTTAGGGCTAGTTTCTCTGGGCTGTCGGTTCGGAGATACTTGTACATGGGTAGTTCTCTATACTAGGGTCCCTTTTTCGGTCCACAAAATAGTACGGCACCAATATAAAGGACCCTAAAAGGGACCCTAATTTAGAGAAAACTACCCGCATGAAACCATTGTGCCGATTCTCGGCCATGGTTGCTACGAGAAGGGTCGATGGCCGCTTTCAGTCTACGTCCTGCAGGTAGCCAGAAACTCCAAACTCCTTCAGTAAGGAATACACCTACACCGTGAGTCATAATAAGAATCTCCCAATATCTTTAAGGCATATTCCTTAAAAGAGTTTTGGAGCCTCTGGGTACGGTTTAGACGTCAAGAGCATCCAGAAGCTCCAAGCCGACTGGCTCAACACGCGTCTTGTTTTGAAAACAAAGACGATGGCTCAGAGGGCACTCCTGTTATACAGAATGCCACAGACCAGACCCGGGCAACAACTAGGAACAGAACGAAGTTGAAACAAGACCGTAGATCCCAGCAGCCTGTTCCGTGCTTGTATAGGTCGCGAAGGCGTAGAAGATTTTTAGGTCACCCGTCCTCTTCCTCGGCAAGCAGAGGCTGCCGTCGGTCTTGTTTTAGGGACTGGGGATTGGGACTTGAGCCTACAAACCTCGGTTTAGCAACTTGGGATTGAGACTCATATCAAGGCCCGAGCTACGTAGGGTTTAGGGTTTAGGTTTAGGTATGCTTGGGATGTCGAACATCTAGGAATTTGGTATCCTGTGGCACCATGGCCACCCTTACTCTTACGCTCTCGCCGTCAACCAAGCATTAGACATTAAAGCGCGTGGGAAAGATTTCGTAATGTTGTCTCGTGTCTGCAAGGCCCACATTGCAAGGCCCAAATTTGCCGCTGGTAATGTAACGGCCTTAATAATTTGAATAGGCTTTTGGGGGCTCCTCATTCTACTCATAGTAAAAGAACCCCCCCAAACCCTATTCTAATTATTAAGGCCCCTATATTAGCTTGTCTATGCGTTCGGAATTCAGTTTGTTTGCTCCCCACCCGCACAACGAAGCGCCTTCAATGAACCCCCGGAACCACGTGAGCGGAAAGGTTTAGGGTTTAGGGGTTCGGGGTTTAGGGTGACCCCGAAACTTCAACGTAGAACTTTGCCATTGACTGGTGCTTCGACATCCTACCTCCGACCCTCAACGTGAAAGCCCTTGCTCCCAAAAAGCCCCAGCAATCACTTCAGAATTCGCTAGTCAAACATCAAACCCCAAGCAATAAAACCGAAACCCTTTACGCATCCACAGGACCCCAAAGCCCCAGCCCCAGAGCCCGAACCCCCAGACCAAAAAGCCCTGAAACCCTTAAACCTTAAACCCTGAGCTGTAGAGTCTTAAGCGCCCACAGGCAACAAGCATCGTGTTCAACAACCCTAAAACCCTAAACCCTGGAATGCTTAACCCTGAACCCCTGAAATCCTAACGGCCTTAACCCTACTGCCTAAGCGCCAAACTTAAACCCGAAAATCCTGAAGCCTTAAAACCCCTAAACCCTGATCCCAAAAAATCCTTAAGCCCTCAAAACCCCTAAAAAAAACTGAAGCCTTATTTAGGGTTTAGGGTTTAAAATTTAGGGTTTAGGGTTATATAAAACCGCGGAAAGCGTCTTGTTCATCTTGAACTTCACGTCAGTGATCTGGCCGAACCCTGCGGGGCAGAGGCGAATCATGTAAGGGCCTTAATATTTACTTGGCTGACTTCTGAACCCCTCCAAAAAGTTAAACTTTTAGTCGCCTCTTTATGGTTCCGATAGAAACCCAAACAGGTAAAGTCCTAAGAGCCAACCAGAAGAACACCAAGTTTAATAACTAGAATAGGGTTTCATAGGGCTTTATAAAGGGTTCCTGAAGGGGTTCTATAAGGGCTACTATAGGGGTTTAGGGTTTAAGGGCCTTAATAATTAGAATAGGGTTTCGGGGTATAATCTACTATAGTTATAATAAGGAACCCCCAAAGTAATATAGGTAATTACTAAGGCCCCTACATTAAAAGGGCTTCTGGGCCTTTGGCTTTCGGGTTTAGGGTTTCGGGTTTTCGGGTCTGGGGCTTGCCGGAATTGGGGTTGAGGGTCTATAAACGGTTTAGGGTTTAGGGTTGAAGGTTTACGGCTTTTAGGGTTTAGGGTTTAGGATTTGTGATGAGGTTGTGCGAAGATTCTACAGTGCCTTCTACGTATGAGGGTTCATAAGGTTTCAGGATGAAGGCATCATCGTCGGTACGCAGCCATTTCGTGTAGGGAGAGGGTTTCAGACGTGGGCCTTGGAGTGCAAGGCGTAGGTCGACCAGGAACTTCCGGATAATCTTAATAGAGCCCGTATGGTTCTTCCTGGTGGGTATTTGCGGTATAGCAGAGGGTAGTTATGATAGCTACCCTCTGCATTATAGGCAATTTTACGGCCTATGCTCAGGTTTCTCTCGTTTCCACCGGCGCACAAAAGGGCAAAGCACAAAACAATCCCCAAAGGAACCCTAAACTCTAGACCCTAAACCCTAAATCCTAAACCCATCCTAAACTCTGAACCCTAAACCACATGGGTAAGACCAGGCTCCGGCATCATGTTAAAAGGAACCTTACATGTGTTGTTCGCACTGCGACGGTCGTTGTTTAGGGTTTAGAGTTTAGGGCTTAGGCTTCAGGGTTTAGGGTTCAGGGTGTTCTATAGCCGAAACCCTCAAAATACTTAAGCCCGAGAACCCTACAGTCCCCCCTAGAGCTGCATAATCTCCAAGACCCGAACAATAAACCTATAAACCCTAAAACCCGAAGGCCCTAAACTCTAAAACCCCAGAGCGATAAATTATTGTTCCCCAAACCCAAAACCCTAAACTAAATTGTTGTTCCCAAAACCCAAAACACACAACTGTAAGTCCCAAAGCCCGCTGAGGCTTAACCCCAGAGCCTCCGAAGTGCTTTCGGATTTCCTCTTCGGTGGCGATCTTCTCCGCGAGGTTGCCGATCCAAATCTGGACGCCTGGGTTTGGGGATGAAGGAGACTAGGGTTTTAGGGTTAAGGGTTTAGGATTTCGGGCTTAGGGGTCTAGGGCTTTAGGGTTTAGTATTTAAGGTTTAGGGTTTTGGGGTTTACGGTCTAGGGTTTAGGGCTTAGGGCCTGTATGGCGTTTAGGTGCTTTCAGTAAGGGACGTCTGGCTGAAGCTGAGGCTGTTGCCTTTAGGGATTAGGGTTTAGGGATGGGTTTAGGGTTTAGGGTTCAGGGTTCAGGGTTCAGGGTTCAGGGTTCAGGAATCAGGAATCAGGGTTCAGGGTTCAGGGTTTAGGGTTTAGGGTTTAGGGTTGCCTTAGACAGTGGGGTTACGAAGGCTTGTAGCAAGCGGTGCAGGGTGAGGGCGGTCAGGGTGTTTTTTTTTTGTTGTGGCCCCTTTTTGCTCGGGCCC